AGAAGACATGGATAGCTTTTTAGAGTGGAGCAGTGCTGTGGAGAACCTTGAGCATAAAGAATCTGGGCTTGATACAGAATAGGAAGCCAATAGAAGGAAGTCCTCGTGCAAAGGGATCACATTTAGGGATAAGGCGGTGAGGCCTTGAAAGACATTACTTTTACGTAGTCTGGTACCAGTCATCTAACTTCTACAGATATAACAAACAACACTTCTGACAGCAAGATGCCATGAGAGGCCTTTGACACTGAGCTAGGAGATCTTGGGAAGTCAATGTACATCTCAAAATTGCACATTCCAAAAACAAACAAAAAAAATCAAAGGTTTTCCTTAGCCTAGCAAGCTCATAAGGTGAGGGCTACAGAATGGAGTCTGTAGCCATTGACAAAGAAGGGAGCAAGAATGGCTTCACTTCTGGGTGCCTTTACACCTCAGTTCAAAAGACCAGATGCCATTTACCTAGGTCAACTGAGGATAAAATGTAAATCAGGGCTAGAAGTCAAGCCTCTTGCATTATAGCCGCTCTGCTGACCAACCCTATAAGTATGCTAATTTGGGACAAGATTTTTTTTCAAAAGGTAAAACATACTGTCCCACATGCTTTCATGACATTCACTGTACATTGGCATGGAGTGACCTTCCAGGGTTTCCAAAAGGAAACTCACAACATTTTTGCCCATGGCCCATTGGCACAGCAGCTAATGAATTTGACTTCACAATAGATGAGAATTTCCTTTTTTAAAGGTTTATGGCCTAGACTTCATCAAAGAAAGTCTTTGTAACAGCAACCAGTGGAGCCAGCATTTTGGGACCAATGGTACATGGTAGAGATGTGAATTATTCTTCGTAATCTTGATGGCATGGGGTAATTTCCACTATAGGTATACAGGTTATAGCCTGACACTGAAATCACATATTCATTTTTCTTTCCTTTACCATACTGGGAAAGATGCAATCATCATGTTCAAATGATTAGAAATACATACCCGAACACTCAGGGTATGTTTAAGAGTGAATTGCAAAGTTGATTCAATGTATTTTCCAGCTGACAAGTAAGTTTTGGTTAATATCACCTTCCATAATCACTTGGGCCAGCCTTTTTTTTTCTGTAGCTTAAATATGGAGGTGTTATTTGCACTATTAAAATATTTTGTACAAGTTTCAACAATCACCACCACCCAGCTTTGCCTATATAATACATATTAAAAAGTAAGGAGTCCACTTCCTTTGGTAACTAGTGCACATAATCTAAGGTAATTAGATTATGTTTAGACAGGTTCTCTGCCAAGTTCAGTCCCTAAAAGGCTGCACTCCTGTGACGCTGCTCCTGGTTCCATTGTACTTGCTTCATGAGTGTGGTAATCCAATGCTACCTTTAACAAACTGAGGTTGGACCTGTTCCGCCCGGTTCTCCTTCTGTACTTACCTGCCACACCTTTGGACTAGGGACAGACATTTAAAAAGCCTGAGCCTGAATTGATTCAATCTTTGCAGGTCACTCTAACCTGCAAAGCTTGAACTGATTTGGAGGTGGATAAACATTCTCTTTTCATTCTAGAAATGCAGGCACATGCCTGCACTGGCTCAGTCTTTTGAGGGGGGTGCTAGACCAGCCCTCCCATGGCTTCCACAGAACTGAGCTGAGTGGGGCATGGCCAGGCCCTGGCAGGATGTTCTGATTATTTCCCCCTCCCTCCTCCTGAGCAGCCTAGCAGGGAATGTTTCTCACCCCTAACTCAGTGTTTATCAACCCATTAAGAAAACAAAGGCTCTCTTCAAGCTCTTCCTAAACAGCTTTTCCAAGGAAGGCCATTAAGCTACCTGTTGATTAGCTCCAAAAAGTCTGTCTGCCTTTGTCGTCTCCCACAGCATGGACCATAGCCAGCATGTGGTCTGCTAGTTAATGCTGAGGCATCTGCATAAAGCAGAAGGGTGTGGGGAATAATCCCTGTTTAGCAGGGAGAAGCCAGGCAGATGCTGCTGTGCCTGCAAATCTTTGCTGGAGCTGCAGCCAGGGAGTAGAGGGGAGGAGCCAGCCCTGCTGTGGAACAGAGAGCCCCACCCAGCCCTGAGAGCATGCCAGGATGCTGGGGGAGTCTAATTTATTTTAAACCAGCAAGGGGTCTGGGACAGACATTGCATAAACCAGTTTGACCCAAATCAGGTAAGTCTGATACTACATTCAACCAGATTTATGTGCACTGAACATCTGTTCTGTTACAAGCTTAAACTAGTTTCTGATCACTTAAACCAGTCGATGTGCAATGTCTGTCCCTAGCCTTGATGATAAGAATAAAATAACAGAAAGAGAAAGTAAATCTTGGGAAGTGTGATCTTCTGCCCCACTCTGAACCAGGCAGTGGCTTCCAACCTTTTCACACAGCTCCTCTGTCCTTATACCTGCCTATACCATACCATGAATGGTTATAGACTGTTAGGCATTTCATCATTCTCCCAGGAATGTCTTTACACACTCAAGAGGACACCTAGTTACTCTTAACCAGTCACACAAAGATCAATCCCAGATCTTGCTTGAGTCTAATAACACAATTTCCCAGGCTCATGCCCTGTGCTTGATGAGCCAGTACTCATCCTTCAAGCCAAGCAGTCTGATTCCCACACAGGGTCTTTATCAATTTACCACATCTCCTTTCCGTAGCCACTACTTGGCCAAGCATCTGTTTCTTAATACACTTCTTACAGTATTTATTCCTTCTCACAGTGGCAGGGAACTCTGTTACGTTTAAAAGAGTCTCTCAACCCTGTTCCCATCTGCCAAAGTTGACAAAAGCCACCCTCACAGGATTGCCCCGCTAATGCTCACATTAACTTTCATCACCTGCCACACCCACCAGTGTCACTTTCATTCCACTCAGAGATCCCATGCCAAATCTTCACTTAAGGTAAGTTTCTCCTTCCTTCTTCCTCTAATTAGATTCAGCTAGCTCCCTGCCAGGAGCCAGGTGAGTCGCTGCACCTCTGTGTCACTTGCACAAGCCTGTGCTTCTGTGTGCACCCCTCACTGGGGCACTGACCTTCCCAACTCACATGGGCTTTAACCTCTGGTTCATTGACCAAAGCCAATAAGGACAGGCTTCATCCTTGCACAGGCTCTTGCTGCAGATAGGGTGGCTATTTGTCTGGTTTTATAAAGGACAGCCTGGTTTTCTGCAACTCTGTCCTCTGTCCTATTGATACAAAACCGGACACCTTTGTGTCTTCTATTTTCCTCCACAGACTTCCACCAGTCTGATGTAAAGGCGTCCAGTTTCGTATCAATAGGACGGAGAACAGAGTAGCAGAAAACTGGGCTGTCCTCTATAAAACCGGGGTGCTTGGTCATTTTGTGTCCCAATTCTTTAATGTCTTCACCCAGTACAGTTATTTATCTGCTCCCCAGCAACAGTCAATGCAAGTTCCCCTCATTGCAACAGGGCTTAACAGGCTCCCTGTTACAATGAAGGACATCATATATACAGTGGATCTGTATACAGTAAAATAAAGATTATAGGAAGGTAGGACTGGAAGGGACCTCACAAGGTCATCTAGTTCAGTCTCTTGCTCTAGGCAGGATCATCCTGGACTAAGCCATCCCAGACAAGTGTCTGTCCAGCTTACTCTAGAAAACTTTGAAGGATGGAAATTCCGCAATTTAGGTAGTCTGTTCCATGCCTGGCCATCATCATAGTCAGAAAAGGTGCCTGTAGATGTGCTGGGAGGCTGCTCCAACTGTAATTACAGTGCATCACAGCTGACTTGATTAATCAAGTCTGCTGGTGCATGTTAATTAGCACACTACAGCCAGGCTCCGCGTCTCATGTATCAATGTCCCCATGCTTCAAAATGGGGGGAGGCAGGGGCGTTTAATTAAAACTTGTTCAATAAGCTTTAGTTAAAGCACCCCTACCACCATTTTGAAGTGCGGCAATGCTGATGCACAAGACCCTGTGGCACTTCAATTAGAGCAGCTCTCAGAGCCGCTCTAATTAAAGCGCCACCCCACACCCCCAGAGCATGTGTAAAAAATGCCCAAAGTTCCTTCTAATCTCCAACCTAAATTTCCCCTGATGAAGCCTGAGGCCATTGCTCCTAGTCCTATCCCCTATGACCACAGAGAAAAGTCCATCTCCATCCTCTTTGCAATCACCTTTCAGGTATTTGAAGACTGTTATCAAATCCCCCCCACCCCATCTCTGCCCAAGTCTTCTCTTCTCCAGATTAAATAACCCTAGCCTTTTCAGCCTTTTCTCATAAGTTTTGCCTCTCAGGCCCCTAATCATTTTTGTTGCATTGCACTGGATTCTTTCCAAACGATCCACATTCTTTTTGAATTGTGGAGCCAAAAACTGGGCACAGTACTCCAGGTGAGGCCTCATCAGTGCTGAACAGAATGGAAGAATCACTTCCCTTGATTTCCATACACAAGATACCCACTGACAGTCCACATGATGTAGCCCTATTGATAAAGATAGCTAGATTTGCTAGAAGCAAAAAATAATTTTGCACCTCTAGGAAAGAAATCTAGACTACAGCAGACTCTCTAAACTAGAGATCAAAATACCACCCAAAAATAGTCAATATTTCACAGAAAATGTGACAGCATCCAGACACGTGTCCTCTTTAAGTTAAATGCTTCAGGTTAATCCAATGCTTCATTCAGGATACAGGATGGATGATGCTTGACTTTGCACCCTTAATAAATGTTCTTTTAATCACACTTTTTAAAAAAAGCAAAAGGGGAGAAAAACCCTGAAAGTCCCTCACGTGGGCATGTAAGTGGCTAGTAATCCACGTTGGAACACTTAGGCCCACTCAGACCTCTATAACTTGAGCACATGAGTATCTTATAGCAGCAATAGGTTGTCCTCTCTGTCAAACAGTGCACACACGCTGCCAATGAGTTCCATAGATACTTGCTGTTAGGAAATTTAAAAGGAGCCCACTCAAACAAGCAGAGGTTCTTTGACCCAGTTCAGCTTTTCTGCCACATCGTCTTTTACCTGTACAACTTGGTCCTGTCTTCTTCATCTTGGCTCCTCGTCATCATAGAGAAATAGGGATGGAGGGGACCTCAAGAGATGATCTAGTCCAACTGGGAATCAAACCTGCATCATGGACCCATTCTGCAATGTTAAAAAAAACCACCACATGAAAATAAACCCCAAATTGCCATCACAGGCTTATTTTCCAATTATAATTTATTAAGACCTAAAATCATTCAGATATAACATTCACTATTATTGTGTGTTTATCCAGTATCTAGTGTCTCTGGGCACTTCTGTACTATAAACAAATAAATATATTCAAATTTGGACTTCCAGTCAAGACGGGGGCAGGGATGGGACCCAATTCAAAGCAGAGTTCTGGAAACCAGATTTTACCAGTCATTTTTTTCTGCCTATGTGTGCCAGTCTTTTTTTTTTTTTTATCAGTGATAAGAAGAAAGAGAGGCCCATGCAGTGGCTTGTTTTAGTGCTCATCCCTGCTACAGATGGGTCCTGAGGATCCCCAGCGTAATCCCCATTGCCTGAAATTTTTACAAGATCCCCACAGCTCTTCAATTACCTCCCTTGGCCTGTCAAGACTCCAGCATCTCAAATTCAGTTAGCTGGTGTTTGGACCACCGCCAAGGGCCAGCCTTTGCTCCTAATGACAGCCAGCTGAGGGGACACTGAGAGGGGCTGAATTCAATTTGCAAGCCCTCTAATCTGATTAGGGGAGCAGGGTTTTTATTTTCTCCGAAGTTTGCAGTAGCCAGGATGAATGATGGCCAAAGGATGAGCTGTCAACGTCAACAAAAGCTCAGAGACAAAAAAGGGGGCAAAAAAGGAATTAAAAAAAAAAAGAGAGAGATGAGTCCCCTCTGATGGACAGCATAGAGAGCTGCTGAGTGAATTGTTCAGGTGACAATGTTTTGTTTGCAGAGTGTCACTCTCTCTGTCTGTGCCTGGGCTGTAAAAGTAGGAAGGGAGCCAGCTACTAGGCAGATGTCAAACAGGCAAATTCCCAAGAGGTCTTAAAATATATATATTCACACACACACACATTATTTTAAAGGTCCACTGCCTAGCCCTTCTGCAATAATAAATATTTCAGTATTCTGCAGTAGTGGTCCAAAATATTGTGTGTCCTTCTGTGCTTGTTCAGTATTGCAAGATATTAAAAATAGTTTAAAAAAATAAACCAAAGAAAACTAAATAGTCAAGAGAATGGTTACATAAGAGTCTGTGTGGCTTTCCTCTCCTGTTGACTTCATTTTCCTGAGACCAGAAGGAACATCCAATTGTTTTAAAAGCTTTTCCTCAGACAGCAAAGTCTACAACTAACACATATATAGTTACTAAACAGAAAAGAGAAAGTACAGTGCTCCTTACATATTGACTTCCTATTAAAAAGTAGCTGAACTGGTGATAGTGAAGATTATTTTCTTACATAAGTCTTTAAAGAAAGGGCAACAAACTGCTGATTTTCCCCTGCTGACTGTTTTTAAATTTATTTTACTACTCACTGTGCCAGAGCTTGGGATAAATAAGCGACCTCCTTTAGGGATGCCCTGCCTTTCTCCACAATGACAGTTCAACCTCAGTCATCCATCTAGCATTGGAGTTTTCAAGCTTGTGATCATAGCTAGAGATATACATATATTTTTGTTCATATTTAAAGAATATTTGTAGCCCTGTATCCAGCTATTTATAAATGAAATAGTCAGACTTTAGGTTGGAGGCAGGGAAAGAAGGATTATAAATGAAGATAGAGGATGGGTGAAAATGATAATCACGGACCCATTCCAGTTTCCCATTTTACAATGATAGACCTCCATTGACTTCAGTAGGAGCATTCCTGATTCACACTGATGTAATTTAGGGCAGATCATGGCCCTGGGAAAGACAGGGCAGCAGCAGCCAAAACTCCAGCAGGGGATACAGAGGGGATGTGGTGGGACAGTCACACCCCTTTTCAGACCACACTGTGGGAGCAGCAGTAGGGAATCCTTTTTTTCTTTTTTTAACTCCCAGAAGCAGGTAAGAATTCCCCCACCTCCTTTCCCCCTCCATGCTCAGTAGCATGTCCCCTCCCCTTCTCTTCTCCCCCTTATGTGCCCACTGTTGCTGCTGTCCCCAGCTGACCTGGGGCAGGGGAAGCTCCAGAGCTGCTCCTGCCCTTCTCCAGCTGGGCTGTACAGAAAGCCAGGCTCAGCCAGGGATAGTGGCAGTGATGGCAGGGAGGGTTCTCCCACCGCCCCCCCCGGCCGTAGTTGGGTCCCCCCCCCTGCCACCACTGCCTGTCCAACCTGGGAGCAGAGCAGGGCAAGGAAACTCACCCACTGCTACTGTGGCAGAGGGACTTTTGAAAGTTTGTAGAATGGCATCAATCTGTAGGTCTTAATTACAGAATCCTAAAGTAATCCATTGATTAGCAGAGAATCTAGCACAGAAAACATATACTGTTTCTAAAAAAAATATTATTCATCTGCACCCATGCGTTAAAAAAGTTCCTGCTTCCTATAAAGCACATTGGTAGGCAGCAGGGAAATGACAACAAAGCAAGAGTCTACATTAAAAAAAAAAAAAAAAGAAAGAAAAAAAAGACTTGGGCAGCCAGACTTGACTAACACATTGGAACGAGAACCAGCAAAGGCAGCTGTTGGTGATCCATCCAATGTCAGCAGAGCAGCACAAGCACAGACAGTTCTTATGGCAGAGGAGAAAAAGAGACTGATAGGATGGGCTCAAGTCATGCATAGAAAGTAATTCAACACTACAGAAGGAGCAGAGAAGAAACATTTTAACTTGGTGAACATGCAGAAAGTAACAACCTTTTCCTGTAAAATTGCTGCAGTGTTGAAGAAACAGATGATAAGGCCTGAAAATGAGGGACTTGTGACAAGGTGGTTTTGAGGGAGAATCAAGTTATACATTAAGAGACAAAAAAAAAAAGTCATAGATAGAAGAGATGATGTCAGCTACTCTATAGTAGTAGATGGTTGTAGTTACAGTCCAGGGCACAGTATAGACTTAAGCCCCTGTCTATGAGGAATAAGCCACAAAGTTATTCCACAAAAAGTGTTGAATAACTTTGCGGCTTATTCCTATCATGCCATTAACTGAACATATGGCCATGCACTCTCTTGTAGCTGGGAGGGGAGCCCACAGCTGATGTGTCTCAAAGCCACAGAGGTGGCCCATCATGACCCCAGGCTCCCCCTGCACCAACAGTAAGGAGTGATTGGATCCGATGCTGGATCCCATAATCATGCCTCCTGCCATGCACATGTAGCATGATAGGAGACATGATTGTGTAGACCGTGTATCTAATCCTCTCATACCTTTACCTGAACATCTGGCAGAGATTTTGGCTATAAGCTAATGTAGCAAAACCCCCAGCTTGTTTGTTTTTTTCCTTTTAAAATGCATTCCCTCCCCTTCCCCAACCATTTCTGACTTTTTCTTTCCCTCTCTATTCCCTATAGATAAATATAAGTGAGCTAAGACATAGGATAAGCTTCAGAATTTTATTTTGGTAGCAAATTGTATTTGTTTTGTATTTTCTCCTTCTTTATATTGTATAATTATTATGTTTATATTGATTGTTACAGTTCTATATTACTGTTTTACTGGTACTATATGATTTAGGCCTACATATGTAAATTAGCATAAGTCACGTCAAGTTTCCATTTTGTTTGTCAAGTCTCCATTCTGTCCCCAGGCCTGGTTGTGTAACCCATGACTCACACCTACCCCTCCTATGTAACTTGGTTCCTGAATGAATGGGGATGAATGAGGGTGCTTGAGAGACAATGACAGTAGGTCTAAAAATAGCTCCCTCTGAATGACCGAACCATCAACACCAATACCTGGACCAACGACCCAGCCATTGGAACCACCCTCAGCATTCAAGAAACAAAAGATGAGGCAACCCACCATTGTGCCAGGCTGCACATGCTTAGTAAGAACACCTCGAGCCCTCTGGGACAGGACTGACCTTGCCTGGACAGGCCCTCCCCATAGAAGATCAGAGGTAGTCTGCCCCATAAAAAGGGGAAGTGAAGACTGACTCCTTGGGACACCCTCTCCATCTGGCCCAGCACCATGCCACACCACCTATCCACCCAGAGGCCCTGCCGGCAACCCCTCTCTGGACGACACCTACTGGACAAGGACCCCTTTCCAGCCTGGATAGGTAGCTATCACTCCCCACCCCCGCTTCAACCAAGGACTTGGACTCTGCTTCTCTTCCCTACCTGGACTCCAACCCTTCCACTGAATCTCTTTCTCCTGCTGCCATTGTGAGTGTTTGTGGGGGGGGAAACCAATAACTTCATGGGGCTGTGTATTGTGTTGTCTGTTTAATAAACCTGTTATTCTGAAACCCCGAGTTGGGTTTTTGCCTGTTTCCTGACTGTTTCCTCCTTGCCACCACTTATCTGCCCCCCCCAGTCTCCAAGCTGTCAGCCTGTTTCCAGCCCCAAGCTCTTAGGTTTCTGCCTCTCTCTCTCTTTCCTGGGTGTCTCCTCCTTGCCACCACTTACCTGCCCCCCCACCCCAATATCTCAGCTGTCTGCCTCAGTTTCCAGCCTCAGTCTACCTTAAGTAACCCCAAGCCTCAGTTCCTCAGCCAGCTGCTCTCTAGTCCACTGGTTTTAATCTCAGTTCTGGCAACTTTCACTCCCTACACTTTAACTCTCTCTCACCTTAACCTTCCTCCAAGTATCCCAAGTACTCCAAGCACACACATATATACCGTGTACCGTGTATGTATACATACATACATACACACATACACATGATATACAGAGATAGATAAATAGATAGATATACACACACACACACAAACACACACACACACACACACGTCATTGTGTATATGATATATACACTATAATTAGTGATCTGTGCATGTGTACTGAGTGTGCGGGTATGGACAATTGATTTTTGTCTAACTTTTGGTGTGTATATAGTGTATAGGGTGCTTGAATTGGTGATAGGTATGCATGTGTCTAGGCTAGATTGGATGTATATGTGCCTGAGTTGGTAGGTTGGTAGTGTGTGTGTGTATCCAATTGATTTGTATGTTTGTATATGTGCAATTGTGTCACACCCTCCTATCTAACAGTGCAATATTGAGATCCTGAGAGTTGGCCTGACCCCACAGGGCAACAATAAGGTTGGATGAACCTAGAGAGAGATTGTAGTTGCCATTATTAGAAGCTTTTTATGAACAGGTTAAGCAAACACTTGGATTAAATGGTTTAGACAGGGAAGATCTTTCCTTGAGCAAGGGGTTGGAACAAATGACCTCCTGAGGTCCCTTTCATCCCTATTTTCTATAATTCCAAGTTGCAGGAGCTCCTAGGTGGGACAGGTGGAATTGCCTATAGACACCAATAGTTTCTATTATAGGACACTGCTTTCCTTTGCTTCTAAAAGGAGGAATCTACATATGCACTGTACCATGGAGTTGACTAATTAGGTGCAGTAAACTAATTAACTCCAAGGTAGGATAGTAGTGTCAGGGACAAATATTGTCCTACAGTAGAGTTATTTAGTGTGCTGCAAAGCATGTGTAGATGGTGACTGGGCCTGACTGGGACATGAGGGTACCAGTTAGCCCCACACTGGAGCACCCACGTGTCCCAGCCAGCCCCTCTGCAGCATGCTGAGCTGTGACTGAGCAGCCCCAGCCTGGCAGGCTAACTCTCCAGGCCCATTGCCAGATGAAGCTGCACTGCCCGGGCTTAACCTGCTGCGGTCCCAGGAGCACACGTAAATGCTGCACCCAGGAGCAATAAACACTAGGGCAAACTGGGCAACCTCCTTGGCTCAGTAAGGAATCCATGGACCTCCTCTACCTAAAAAGAGAAGCTTATAAAGGATGGAAGTCAGGAAACACCAGTAAGGAGGAGTATTCAGCACTAGCCCACACCTGTAAGGAGTGAACTAGGAAACCCAAGGCTGAAACCAAACTCAAACTGACTACAGGAATCAAAGACAATAAAAAGTCCTTCTTCAGATACGTGGGAAGTCAGAAAAAGAAACAAGGGCAACATTGGACCCTTGCTAAACCAAATGGGGCAGCTGATAACCAACACCCAGGAAAAAGCCAATCTCTTTAATGATTACTTTACATAAGTCTTCTACCAGCCCAAGGGGATCACCTGTCTGACAAGATGCAGGATTACCAGGGTAAGGGCAAACATACGCCCATCACTGGCTTTTGACCTGGTGTCCCATAATGTCCTCATGGTAAAATTGGGGAACTGTGGCCTTGACAACCTTATAGTCCGATGGCTGGGGAACTGGCTCCATGGTTGGACCCAGAGAGTGTTAGTTGATGGAACTGAATCAATATGGCACATGGTGACCAGTGGTGTGCCCCAGGGCACTGTACTCAGACCTGTACTCTTTAATGTATTTATAAATGATCTGGACTCTGGTGGCAGAGGCGGACTGGCTGTTTGCCAACGACACCAAATTATGGGGAAGTGTGGTCACATTAGAAGATAGGCTGGCTATTCAGGCTAACCTTGACAGGCTCACAAGGTGGGCAGATAAAACCTGATGGCATTCAACATAGAGAAATGCAAGCTGCTCCACTTCAGGAGAAAAAACCCACATCATACTTACAGGCTTGGCAGTGCTACACTCGCTAACAGCACGACTGAAAGAGACTTGGGGGTCATGATTGACCACAAGATGAACACAAGCCACCAATGCAATGCTACAGCCAGCAAAGTAAACAAAACCCTGGCTTGCATCTACCAATGCATCTCAAGCAAGACCCAGGAAGTCATCCTCCCACTTCACTCAGCCTTAGTGAGGCCACAGCTGGAGTACTGCATCTAATTCTGGGCTCCACAATTCAGAAAGGATGTGGAGAAGCTTGAGAGAGTCCAGAGGAAAGCCATGTGCATGGTTAGAGGACAAGAGAGCAAGCCTTATGAGGACAGCTTGACAGCCATGGGACTCTTCAGCCTGGAAAAGCGTAGGCAAGGGATGAGTTGGTGGCAGCCTATACTTAAAGGATGTGAATCAGGAACTAAGGGAACTTCTGTTCACCAGGGCACCCCAAGGGAAGTTAAGATCCAATGGTCACAAAATCCAGGAAGACCATTTTAGGCTAGACATAAGGAAAAACTTCTTTACTGTCTAAGTCGCCAGGGCCTGGAATAAACTCCACCCAGAGGTGGTGCAAGCACCTACTCTGGACACTGTCAAGAAACACCTAGATGCCTATCTTGCTGGGATCATTTTATCCCAGTTGACTTCCTGCCCCTGGGGCAGGAGGCTGGACCTGATGATCTTGCAAGGTCCCTTCCAGCCCTAATGACTATGAAACTTATGAAACTGCAACAGAGTTTATTCAGGCACATTAATTGCACATGTAGATGTAACTACTGGGTAATGTATTGTAAGTGATTTGGGCTGAAAGACATAAACGTACAATATTTTAATGGAATAAAGTCCCATAGGATCCTCCCATGCCAAACAACAACAGCAAACCAAAATTAAACCCCCTCAACTTTAAAAGAGAGAAACAAAAATGTAAAATCCATTTCCTTGTAATATGAAAGCCTAAGGTTTTTTTCTTACTCTATTCCATTATGCTTTCACTGTAAAATCTTACTTTAATTTATATGCTATATTTTTTTTAATTTGTTTTGAGGAAAATCATATTTTGCAGGAATTAAAAAGTCAAGGATTTTTAATTAATTTTTCTACAATTTGTGTGCAAAAGAAACTGATATTGTCTATGTAACAACCACCGTCCTGGGATGAGCACCAGTAAAATAAGGTGATAAGGAAAGGAAGGCATCTCAAAACCAATACATCTCCCATTCAGTTGGCATTTTTATCTGCAGATGCCAAAAGCAGCTAGATGTGCACCCAGGAGCAATAAACTCCTGTGTGTACTGTGCCAGAGTTTATTCAGGAACATTAAAATCATGTGTAGGTGCACCCACAGTATCACATCTTCATGACATCGGCTCAGATTTTCCAGAGCATCCCCCTTTGGACTGACTATTTTGGGAAGTTTCAGCTAAATTGACTTCCCAATGTTTGAGCATGAACTTAGGAGAAAGATATTGTTGTGTTGTCGATGTTAAAAAAAAAATCTTACAATAATTTTAGGTAGAAGCTGTACTGCCCCACAATTTGGGATTTGGTACGAGGGTTGGCTAGTATCAGGAATGTGTGTTCAGACAAGTTAGAAACCTTCAAAATGTGACAGTACCCAAGTGTTCAGCTGAGACTTATTATTAGTGTGGTAGTTAAACTCTTTGACATTTCCATTGGCATTGGCACACTCCCACCAATGCTCAGGTAGGTTGCACATACCATCTCTCCCCACAGAATAATAGTTCCATCCCAGGACTTCCCCTACAATTATTCCTCCTAGCTAAAAGGTTCACTGTGGATGCATGTGCAAGAACCATGAGCAGAATAACTGTATTTGCTGTGTTCTTCATTATTCTTTTGCAGCTGCACAGACAGAGAAGTAGATGAATAGCCTGACCAGGATGTAGATGGGTAAAGAACAAAAAGACCAGGCAGTTTTATAGAGGAGGCCATTTGGGGGAATAGGAATGGGGTACAAGGGACTTGAGCAGAGAGAAAGGGAAATGGGGGGAAGGGAAGGGTGTGTGTGCAGATGAAATGTATTGGATCAAAGCAGGGCTAACAGCTTGAGGGGATGAGATAGAAGCAGTAGGGGGAAAAAGCAAAAGCCAGGAGACTGGATGGATGGGTCTCTGTGCCCACTAGGGAATGCTCCCAGATTGGAAAGGTACCCACAATCCCTGAGTTTTACCATTCCTTCACTGTCAACATGTTTCCCTAAAACCCTAGGCAAAATGTATGAATACATTTTCTTCTATGCTTGCATACATACAGGATGACAACCTACTCCTCTCACCAGTTACTGCCGTCACTTAGAAAGAAAGACAACTGCTACATTTACCACTCTGCTGGCAAAGAACCATGCTGGCGGGAGAGATTAGGCATGACTCCACATGACGACATTTAAAAAAAAAATCTCAATATGTTAAAAACAGCAGAAAAAAAGAACAGAGAGCTAGAACCTTATATTCCAAGGTTATGGTTACAATGCCAAGGTCTGAAAAATGAAGAAACTAATTAGAATGACCTATTCTTAGAGTCAATAGACCCATGCGTTTTTCTGAATTGCTTGTATCTGATACCATTAATTATGACACTATGTGGTATCTTAACATGGTACAGGAAGATACACAATTGATTCTGTTATATGATATTTGTAGGCTGAATCTACCCTAAATATAGGCACAGACACACAACTGCTCCCTAATACAAGTTTGTTCCTTATTCTTCTATCCAGATCCTGGTGTGGGCCCCATCTCCAGAAAGAGACTGTGTAAGTGGACAGAAGAGTACTTTGACTAGAACCCCCCCACCTCCCTCACACACACCCTGCAAAAGAAGTGTCAAATGCATCATTTTTGGAGAATGGAAATTTTCTGTTTCTGTACAAACCATAAATAGTAAAGCACGTACAGTGACTGTGCAAATGCCCTATCCTGGTTTGCCAAGAGATGCCTCAATCCAGGCCTCACCACTGACCATCAGAATGGAACTTGGCATTCAATGCTCATTCAGTGCTTTTCCTTTCCAAGGTGACCCCTAAGATGACCTACCAGTAATAAAGGGTAGGTGTCCACATAAAAGTTGTAGAAGAAAGCCATAAATGACCCTCTGAATGCCATCAAAGGACAGTCAAGGAGTAGGGCCATTCTGTCAGTACTATCCTGAGCCAGATGCGAGCCGGCCACAGCTACTTTTCTAATGAATCTTTAAAGAAGATCATTTTTCAAAACTATCTCCATCTCAACATAACCAATGCTGCAGATCTTAAAGGCGGAGGCAATGGTGAAGAAGACTGGAGAAAATCTCTTGATAAAAGACTGAGACAATAGGTATGAATGATGGACCACATTTACTCCTGGTGAAAAACCTATAGAACCAATGCAGTTACACCATAGGAGAAGTTGGCCCATTATGAACAACAGCCAGAACACGAAGAAGAGTAAAACACTTAATTGAAATCCTTGTCAAAGAGAAAAACTAATTATCTTCCCAAGATCCTCTGTCAAGCTGTCTCTCTCTATTTGCTAGACAGGGATGGTATCAGCGAAATAGTGTTGAGAGTTCCAGCTCCTAGTAAATATATTACATTATGTACAAATAACAAATGTGGAAGAGGCCAAGTCAGGAATTTTCCAGTGAAACATTTTCCATTCGAGAATGCCAATTTGTCAAAACCAAAAGTTTGGGGCCTGCCTTCCTTTCTGGAAAATACCAGTTTCAGTGCCACTTTCTCTAGTCTAGGATATGAGAGTGAGATCTCAAAATAGTAGTGCCCTGGGCAGGACACTTATTTGTGATGCAGGAGGACAAGGTTCAAGTTCCTGTTGTTGGCTGTTCTGAGATGCATCTCTCGATCGCTCTGCTTTGTATAAACATTTGAAGCTGGAACTTGAACTTGGATCCTCCAAAATACCCTAACCATAGAGGTATACAGTCAGTCTCTGTCTCTGCACTTAGTGAGTATTTATTTAGTGAGCACGCAGGGGTTAGACCCTTGCTTGGGATGTGGAAAACCTAGGTTCAAGTCATGCAGTGTAAGGATGCAAGCCTGGATCGCCCTTATCCCAGCCATGAGTTCTGACCTACGAGCTGTCTGTTGCTCATAGTGGGGCACTCTCCCCTTTTTCACAAAGATCTTTGAAGGTCCATGGATTTTGTCCCAATGCAGAATAGGAACATTTTTGAAGTCTCCATAAATGTGGGGGGATTGAAAGAAAAGATCACCCCCCACACAGCTCTACTCCCAGCTATGTAGAACAACAGAGGTTAACCATAAATATCAGTCAGGTGAAAAACAACCTTCCTTTCCTCCCTTTCCCAGACACACTCTTTGCCTTGAATTACTTCCTGTTTATTCTCTGCGCTTTGCACAGGGTTAAGGACTTCTTTCTATGCCCGTTCACTTTGGCACAGCTAACCCCCAGCATGACACAGCCATGGGCTACACACATCTTGTTCCAAGACTGTCACAGCCTGGCTGTGGGAACAGCACTCGTGTTCATTTATTCCTCCCATGACAGTCAGTGATAGTCATCGTCATTCTTGACACAGTCGCTCTTTGCCTGTGCTTAACAGCGGGGCTTCATTCACTTTGTTTTCCCAGTGCAAGATCTACCCACAGCCCAGGTACTTATTCCCCTCCTCCACAAAGCACTGGCTTTGGACCTTTACTCTCTGAAGTGCCTGCTGTGTCTGTTAAAGGCCCCAGTCTACCACATCTAGAGCACAGCTAGAGAGAGAGAGACCCCTGGCTTTTTTCACTTACGCCACATTATCACAGAAAGGTGGATTAGAAGTTATCTCGGCTCTGCTTTCTTTCAGAGCTCCTTGGCAACACAACCACCAAGATATAAATATGCACCAAAAAAAAATGCAGAGGGCACAGATACACGTGAGCAAGGAGGCAACAGCTTGGAGCAGATACAGCAAAGAAGACTGAGGACTTCTGGAAATCTGTTGAAGGGAAAACTTGCAAGTCTCACCCTTTCAAGGTCAAAAATAGCAGCACTGGAAAATAAAAGCCTACAGAGTTCTCCCAGGTGTCAGAATTGCTACTAGATATCTCTGATACACATGCAAATGGAAAAGGCTCTCCATAGACCTCATTCTTAATAACAGAACAACTGATTGGTTTGGCCTGGTGGTTTAGAAGTACAGCAGCACAGGAGTTATTCTTGGTTCTTGACTGCTCGTGAGGCAGGGTCTGGGATCAATGAAAAGACAGCAGCCTCACCTCTGAGCAGAGTAGGGGATCAGAATTTAATGGCTGGTCCTCCAGTGCTATCTACTTTGTGTAGCTACTTGCACCTAGACCAGAGTGGGTGCATGGTGTTACCATTAAGATTTATAAGACATACAAAAAACTAGAAATCTTGGTTCCAAAATGACATCTTTTATTAGACCAACTGGAAAATGGCAAGAAAATTGTCCTTTTCTGCAAGCTTTTGGGATCAAAGTCCCTTCGTCAGGCTCTGGGAAAAGTGTAGATGGTACAAGAGGGTTTAAGATTTATCACACTTTCACTCAACTATAAAATAACCATGCTAACTTGAAGATAGTGGAAAATTAGACACTCCAGGTGTATGCAGCATCCTCTTTGGTCATTGAGGGTGACAGTGTTAAGACCTAAGGGGAATGAAGTCTACCTCTTCTGAGCAAAGAGGAAGTTTGCCATGCTATGGTTACTTTTATTAATTACAATACTGCATAGAGACAGCAACTGAGACTGGGACTCCACTGTACAAAACACAGTGAAAGATAATCCCTATTCCAAAGACCTGACAGCTTGTTTAAATAAAACAGACAAGAGACAGGAAGGGATAGAGAGGCACAAAGAAACAACTTGGTGCAGTTGTCCATGGCAGAGTCAGGAACGGAGCCAAGGTCTCTGGAGTTGCAGGCCAGTGGTTCAAGAAATTGAACTGCATTGATACTTCGGTTGCAATTGCATCACAATAAAGAAAATGAAAAAGCAGAAGATACAAAAGAAGCTTAAAGGAAGATCCCCATGGAAAAAAAGAATTCAGTATTCGCTAAAACATTAGTGTGTAATATGATCATGTAATAAACTGAACCCAATAGGTATTAACCTTAAAAGTGTTTTTAAATAACCAATTTGTGTTTGATTACAGAACTGCATGAGAACCTAAAAGGAAAACATGGAAGATGCAATAGGAAGATGGGGATGGTCTAGAGTCTCCCAGATTTACTTTTCTTCCCAGGAAAAGGTGAGCTGGTAGCAAGTTTCATATGAGCTTGGTGGAGAAAGCAGAAATATCTATGTATGTTATAGATTTGTTGCCTTGGATATTATATAAGCAAACTGTGACATGTATGCTACTTCCTTTCTAAGTCATGAACACTTAAGAGTGATTATTTTTGTTGTGCTTTGAAATACTTAAAAACTAACCACAGCATACTTTAATACTGTGTGCATCTCCTGAAAGCACTACTACATTTTTCCACACATTATTAATAAAAGTCTCATTACTGAACCAAGATTATCCTGTTTTCCTTTTCTCACCTTATTGAGTGCTTCTGCCCTACACATCCATGAAAAGTCTTCCTATTGCCAAAGTGAGGATAGGGATTTGCTACAGTCCTCCTTCAGCTTCCTAAATATCACAGAGAGATGGCTTTACTTTCTAGACAAACAGCACTTTGGAGGTTCCTCCCCTAGTGTTAGAGTTCTTCCACAGGTTTCTCACATTAGCCAAATCAGAGGCTGGAAGACAGCAACTACCTACAGCACACCTGCACCTCCTTGGTAGAATCCCTTTCTTAGTGATCCCTGCAGCAGGTGATAAAGTGACCTGTCACAGCCATTGTATTGTGTAGCTGAAAGTTTTGTGCTGTTTTTCTCCCCTTGTGCACAAATGGTTCAGTTTTTCTTCTTTAGTGAGTAGTAGCTGGAGGTGGGAGGGAAGGGTCCACAACATCTACTCCCAAGATTAGCAGCAGAAGCTGGATTCAAAGCTGTGCTGAGAATTTTTCATGACTTGAACGAGCTCTTCCTTTGCAAGCAGTCCAGAGAGATTATCAGACATTCCTCTATGTCCTTCTTTGTATGTGTATTCACGTGCACAAACTGCCTATATATAGAAAATTGTGTAGTAAAATTGATTGGGGAGGTTTTGTCTTAAGATGACTGCATAAATGGTTGTCAGTACAACTCTAAAATGCTGCCAATTATGGGCTTGATCCTGCAAACACTGAAAACATGTACTTAATTTCACTACTGAAATCAAAGAGGCTACTTTTGATGGAGAAATCAAATGTAAAGTTTTATGCAAGGGTAGAACCCATAATAGCAGATTTTATCCCTGTGAGGCATGAAGCTGATATTTGGGGAAGAGAGGAAAACAGTTTTTCTTTTGTGAAAAAGCCATATATATTAGGAAGGAAAAAGAAGCACTGACCTAACATGCAGTGAGAGGTTTGTTCCTTCACTTAGGAATTTTTTGAAAATCCAATGATCCCACTGCCTTGCATGTCCTTTCTGTAGCTTCAGATATTTTTTTAAGACTTGCATTCTTGTCTGGTTCTGAACACAATTTTTGCATTCACTATTAATGATGTATACTATTATATATTTATCAAATATTATTTATTTTTAAAATAACAATATTGTTTTCTCATCCCCCAAATCCTATACAAAATTCAAATGGACCTACTCAAAACCTTCAGATAGTCTAGGACTGTGCTTCAAGACTCCTTCAGAACACATAGTAGACACCACATGGATGGCTTCCTGCTATTGGCTTTCCAGGAAACCATTTGCTGGTCCTTTGCTTTCTCTCTTCTCTGATTCCCAGTTCAGTGAATACTTACCATGGTTAGAAGCTTTGCAGTCCCTTAGTCTAACTCTTGCTTCCTGTTTTAGCAGCAGACGTCTCGGTTCTTATACCTGAGGATGAAAGGGATCAGAATATTTTTCCAACACGCATTCTAATTTTGTAATAAATTAATGTATTCCTATCTTTTGCTATTTGCTTTCCGTAGTTACTTTACATAACTAATTGACTGTCAGGAATGTTTACTGAAGCCCCCAATTTTAAGTTAATATTGCATAATATTTACAGGCGACAGACTTCTAGTAATCGGTAACAGCCCTGCAAACCTGGAGCACAGACAGAAGTGAAATTTTCGCCCTATCTGGTCAGAGAAAGTGATCTATAGCCATGACCAAACACAAGTGTACAGCTGCAGACTGCTTCAAAAATGACCAACTGGATGAAAATCTGAACCCTCATTGCATGAGGGGTCAGATGAAGACATTTCAAAACATAGCATCTTCTGTAACTTGAATCTGCGCTGCCCCCTAGCCTGTCACTGTTTTCAAAATGGGAGGGGGGAAAGGGAGAAGAGGAAGTTCAGTCTGGGGGTTTTTGGCACCCGCCTCCATGCCACGGAACCAACAGTAAACTTCTGTTTGGTCCGGGGGATCATTGTAACTCAGAACAGTTCCCGGAAAGCGTTCTGTTACAGCCAGGAGCTGCACTTCTGTCTGCACTCTTGATTGTACTCATGCAGGCAAGGAAAACAGAATCAGAGAAGGCAGCCTCCATGCTTGGCCAAAACAGTTCCCATTACCAGTACCCTGATAGTTGAAACAAACTACTTCCCAGTATACCTGCAGGGTACATGTTATTCATACTTTACTTGCTATGCAATTTCAAATAACAAGTACATTAAAGAAAAATGCAATCTGTTTTCTGACAACTTAAAAATGCACAAAATGTAATAGTTTGTAACAGTGGGGCCTAATAATTTACCCGCGCTAACTATTAGATCATAGCTGTGAATTTTATTTACTTGTTTTACACGCCCAATTCAGTTGGTTGAATTTTTTTTTCAAAAGCTACTTTTGATCAAAAATGTGGTTTTAGTTAAAATGAATGTATTTTTTTAAAAGTCTTGTTTTCAATTAAATATATTGTTTTTCAAAAAGACATCTAAATGTAAAATTCAGGATGTAACATGAGACACGTTGTTGTCAGTAATTTTCCTTTCAAAATAAAACCAAAAAATAGAACATGTTTATTTTTCTTTTACAAAACCAAATAAAATAAACTTGATTTAAAATAAACTTTCAAAGAGAGAAAGTAACATTTGTAATATTTGACATGGTACTTTCTCTCTTTTTCTACCTTTCTACTTTTTGGAAAGAAAGACAAAGTAACACTTTAATGCCTTTTTCCCCACTTGGAGAGTTGTATGATGAAGAAGTGAAAAACATTATTTTTCACACTTTATTATTCTTTTCCAATTGTAAAAGATGGGAAAGTATAAAAAAAAATGTGGGGGAAAGTAAAAATGTTCCAAACCTTTTTAAAATTCTTCTAATTTTCCTGTGTGGAAACCATTATTTTAAATGAAAGGTTTCCAGTAGGAAGTTTTCTGATGAAAATTATTTCCCAGCCAGTTCTAACAGCCATACATAGTTACTAATCCAAAGTCTATTCAGTCAATAGAAAGAATCCCATTGAATTCAGTGGGCATTCATCCAGTTCCTAAAACCAGGCAATTTACACTTAGAAGGAGAGGAAAGGGACAGAGGAATTTGAGAAAATAGTATGGTCCACCATCACCTTTTCTTCTCATTTTGAGCTTCTCATATCCATCCAAAATACAGCTGAGGAAGCCTCTCTGACAACATTGACCTGCGCTCCAGTGCTCCATGTAGCAAAGTAGCTGTATCTCGCAAATGGCAACCTTTCCTCTTTAATGATTAAACAGATAGTCTTCTGGCTGTGACCAGACTTTCCCAGGCTGCTTCAAAGAAGAAAGATCAAAAGGGCTTGGGTTTTAGTTATGAATTCCAAAGTTCTGACAGCGCTTTAAAAAAATTTTGTTTTTGACTCAAAACTTTTCTATTAGCAAAAGCTAATCACATCTACAACATATAGAATTACAGTTCCAAGCCTTCAAATGACTCTTTGGGATAGTTGTGAAACCTCTCTCACTTGATCAGATATCTGCACACATCTGTGAGCCTCTGTGGAGGGGTCCACCCATGTAGAGTATCTTCCAGGACTGGGGCCTAAATCCGCAGGACAAATGCTATCATGATAATCAGTGAGTCAGACAGGATCTAATTTTTCTAAATCGTATTTTGTACTTTAAAGATAATTCCAATATGGTGTATTTATTTTACGGTAATTGAAATTCTAGTGCTGTGAATAACAGGAGATACAAAACTATTGCTGGTTCCTTGTCCTTCAGTCACTCTCACGGGAAAGATCAAAGTTATTATCCCTTCTAAGGCATCATGAAGACTTTTCCAAACAATGATGCTTCAGTCATTTTTGTATCTCTCTAAGCCCTGTCACTATTTTTTTTTCTTTTAAGAGAGGCTAACATATACACCCATTAACTCAAGTATTTGCAGCCTGGGTCAGGGGAGTTGTAATATCTGTATCTATAGCTATCTCAGAGGCTTTTGAGGGAGAGCTCTTTAGTGATGACATTTTTACTGAAGACGAGGTCCTAAATCAATTGCTCTCTGAGCTGAAGGACGCTGTGTTTTCCCCACTCAGCAATTTCATATCATTCTCTTCCCCCTTCCGTGGGTTTGGCTTGCAGCTTGGCCTGTTCCGAAAATAAAGCCAGTGCAATGTTTTGACAGCTCTTAGCATATTCCCAAAAGCCAGCACTGAGAAATGTTGCTGGTATTTCCTAGTTTTTCTTTGTTTGTCTGATGGGTGCGAGTCGGAGGGACATCAGCGGCAAACATGACAAGAAAAGGCAGTTTTGCTCCAGCCATGTTTGTCTGTACAGTGGAATAGGGCAGTGCTCTGATATCAGTTTAGCATACCAGAGACTTAAAGAAGCTTACGAGACTGCTCTGCTCAAGGGATAAAAGATGGGTGTTTGGCAGGAATGAACATATCTCTTGGTTACTCTGTTTAATTCTCCATGGGCCTGATATTTCTCTCATGTTGCCACTATACCAGCATGACTCCACAGATACCAAGGAACTAATCCTGTTTTACATTAGTCTGAAGTAAGATGAGAATCAGGTGTTAGGTATCAAGTCATGGTGCTGTCCCTGACACTATGTTCAAGAGAAAAAAAACAGGCCCTGTGTAATGGCAACAACAAAATATATAATGAAACTACTTAACTACATACCTTCAGCTCCTTGGGACCAGGCTTATTTCATCGTGTCTGTTTGTAAAGCAGCAGATGGAGCTGTTGGGACTTGATAAGCATAAACATAGAGGTTTAGGTGGAGGAATTATATAACCAGTTGATCTGAGAGCTATGATACTGGCTTCTTCCCTTCCACCTTTTTTGTATCTTAATGCTTGAAGCCATCTGAAAGAACTGGGAGGCTGTACTGTGCGCCAGGCAGAGGTGATCTCTAATGTTTCCTTTGTGGAATCGGGAGTTCAAAAGCCCAAGGTCTGCTCCCAGCTCTGACAAATCACTTTGGCTACGATTTTTGAAAGTGGGCATTCCCTTAAGACACCCTAAAAAAGAATACAACTTCCAGTGAGTTGCTGCTCAGCATTTTCTGAAAACCCAGCCCCCCACCCTTTAAAGTATGTCAAGCAAGGCATTCAGAAATGAAGGAACTGAAATTGGAGCCCAACTACCTCCTGCCCATGGCCGGGGACCGGGCTTGATGATCTTACAGGCCCCTTCTGGTCCTTCTTTCTATGATTCTATGAAATCAGTGTTCACTTTGCAAAATCTTGATATTTTCCTCCATTTTACTTGTTTATAAGTGGGAGTAATGCTGCCTACCGCCCTTCATTGAAGGAGTCTTGTGAAGCTTGCTTAATTTTTTGTTTGTAAATGCCTTGAAATTCAAGTATGAAAGACACCATCTGTCTTAACACTAATCAATACATTGTTTTCCAGTAGCTAACCTTTGCAAAGGAAAGAACAAGACTGGGGGTTTTTTTCTTATCATTTCGCTGCACTTCTCAATCCAGCTCTAAAAGGGTCAAAAATCCAGCACTCCTTCCAGGAGATCCCAGCAGGTCTTCACAAAATCACTGCTCAGCATAACTAATTATGGCTTGCTGCTTTGTTACCGATGCGTGTTAGAAGTGTAAATGTAAACACCGTTCTATCTTGCTATCAACATTGCACAATGCACATAGCAGCGTCTGTCAGACCTCAATGGGAAAACCACTGAGTGTAAAGCCCTCCTGGGACTTTGAGGAGTTACCACTCACCCACTCAGTCTTGTCAGTGATTCAGTTTGAGCCAATGCTCCCCAAGAAAATAAAAGGTCCCTTACAGATGTTTGGTAACACATCAACACAACCAAGCACAATGTAATGAAATTCCCCCAATCTGTGTCAGACATTACCTAATTGATAAGGTGGCCACTATGCGCCTTAGCAGCTCCGCTTCCAGTAGTGTGACACACAATCAGTCTCTGTTCTCTTTTGCTATGACATCATCCTGACAGACCCTCCCGTGCATCATGCTGGCTGCAAACTTCCTTTCCATCTGAGATAAACAAAACTGGAGACAAACTCTCTCATTAATAAAAATACAACTTTCTGCAGCTCCTACCCTTAGCCCTTATTTCCTGCCCTTATTATTTGTGAGAATTCCTCAACAATTCCTCCCCATAGGCCTTTCCAACATTGCAGCAAGAGCAGCTGCAGCCTGTCGTTGCCTATGGGGGCTCAGACTTTAGGCACCAGACGTCTAGAGTCAATACACTCACACATGAACCATTAAAGCATTGAGCCAGCAAGTTGGATTTCCCTGCCTTCCTCTTCCCTCTCTTTGTTTAGTGGCTGTGTTAAACACCAAAAATAAGTTAATCTGTTTTTTTCTAGCAACATATTTATTATGTCACTGAGTGGTGCCTCAGGAAACAGTACTGGACAAGGCTGAGTTATCTGGCGCTGAGGATGAATTGCATATTGATTGCACCACCACAGCTTTGGGACAGAAAATGACCCTCACACAGAACCCAGGCTCAAGCCACATGATGAAAAGATTCCTGACAAAACCTTCAAGGCATTCCCTGGAGACTTCAGGCCGAATGCAGGTCTCATTGACATCAGTGTAAATCCAGAGTAGCAGCATAATGGAAGCGGTGGAGTTCCATGGCAAGTAAAATCAGAATCAGGTCCTTGGGTTCAGATTCAGTTATGTGGTGGGCATGCATATAATTCTGTTTACAGCAGCATAACTGAGACAGAGGTCTGGGTGTTCCTTGTCCTCCAACCAAGTTGGACTACATTCAGAGATGGAAAACAATGAGTTTAAGTTACCTATTGGTTTGAAAGAGCCACCACATGAAGAATTGCTGCAGTACAACCCACGAATTGCACACTGCTGGTTATGACATATCACCTCTCCCTGGAACCCATATGGAAACTCCTCAAACAATTGCAACCCATACTACAAGGAGACCCTATTCTTAAAGAGATCTTCCCAGAACTGCTCATCCTAGCCTTCAGTCACCAAACCTCACTAACCTTGTCACCAGAAGCAAACTTCCTATGGCCCAGAACACACAGAATGGATCCAGACCGTGCTATGACAAGAAATGCAAAACCTGCCCCCACATCTCCACCACCCCCACAATTACTACACCCCACAACAAAGCCCTCAGCATTCCTGAATCTTACAGTTGCACCTCCAGAAATGTAATATATCTCATTCAATGCACCAAATGTCCTGATGGAAAATATGTAGGAGACAACTGCACACCAAAATCAATGCACACCGGAAATCTATCAAAGACAAGAATACCCAGTTACTTATGGGGGTACATTTCTCACAAGGAAACTTTCCATTCTCTTTCCAATCTCTCAGTTCTGATCCTCAAAGGGAATTTACAAAGCACTTTTCACAGACAAGCCTATGAACTTCATTTCATCAACCTCCTGGATACAAAAAATCATGGACTAAATATAGACATTGGATTTATGACACATTATAACCTGCCTGACATCTGACTCCCCAGGTACCTCTCCACTACCTACCTGCTACATTCATGCCCCTTCTCTCTCTCCCCCACTCACACCCAGCCTCTGTCTCACCCACTGACTCCTCAATTTACATTTTCACTGACTGGCTTTTTTGCATGCATACCAGACCAGCTTTTTGCTTCTTTACTATTCATTCCATCCAGGAAGAGCACACACCAGCTGCAGAGGCTTCCTCAGCCTGACGAAGGGGTTTTAAACCTGAAAGCATGCTAAGAAATTTTTTTTCCATCTATTTAAGTTGGTCTAATAAAAGATATCACATTCACCCAAAGAATCTTGTCTGCCTATTGGTCTACATCAATTCAAGATGGATTCACTAGGACAAACAGCTAATCTCAGTCCCACCTTCCTGTTAGTTTTTTTTTTTCCCTTGACATCTCTGACCAATTTCATCCTTCTGAATGTGTTACTTATAAGGAAAAAATGAAATATTTTCAGAAGTTGCCAAAATATGTTGGGGTTTTTTTGGTTTAGCCACTAAACTGAACGCACCGTTGTTCACACATAGCTTTCAGCTATGCTATTTTTTGTTCCCATACCACATATGTAAAATCTGAAATGTAAACCTATATTTAAGAACAAGGGAAACCTATAGGTTTCTGAACCTCAAAGAAAAAACAATAGATAACAGAAGATCTCTTTTTTTAAAAATAGGGCATGTCTACACCAGATGCTTAATGCATGGTAGACTAATGCTGTAATGCACAGTAGAATTAATCTACTGCACAAAAGTGTCATGACAAGTCCACGCACCTTTGCTACTGCACAGTAGCATTGGCTACTGTGCATTTAGTTAGTACCTCATATTAGAAGTACTGAACTTAATGCACAGTAGCAACGGTGCATTAATGGATGTGTAGACATGCCCACTAACTTCATAATTAATGCCCCTTATTATGGGGCACTCTGAAGGAGCACTCTGATGCTTAATGAATCAGATGGCTCAGTCAATTAAACATTCCCAACCTGTTGTAGACAAAGCATTGCTTCTAGGATCTGTTTGCTGGAATGTGCTACTTCTCTTTGTTAACTGGGGATCTGAAGGGTGGAGCTGGTGGATGCAGTTAACAAAAGCAGCAATTGTCAATGAAATTACTGATTAATTTTGGCAAAAATGTTTCAACAGCTTATAGTAAATCAGTTATCGGTATCAGCTTTTATTGATCCATGGCCTTCCATCTATAGATCCAACTTTGGAAAGAACTGCGGAAGGAAATAGTTCAAGTGTAATAGGATTGCAAAGCCCCCTAAAATGGAAGTGTTGCAAGAGAAGTCACTATGCATGCTTACACTTTAAATCACTTGATGTTACTTTCTACCACCCCCAGGAATACAGGAAAGAAGAAATACAAACAAAATTTTATTTTCCTATCTTGCACACTTGAAGGGAACATGGCTATAATTCCACCGAGAATAAACATCCACACAGCTAATCTTCCCACTCTGTAGGACAGTTTGTTGAAATTAGTGAAAGGATGCAGACGTTGCACAGACTGCTTGATAAGAGTTATAAGCACTGGTTTGTTATTATTAAAGAGGGAGCATAACTTTGCTGTCTCCAATGATTTTAAAACACAACATTCCCTCTTATAGCTATCTCCCTACCTACCATATTTACATTAAATGTGTATGTGCGGCTATGGATATGTAAGCATCCAACTGCATAATGTTTTGTCTATTGTCTGCATTATTGAAGGTTCTGACAATATAAACCACAAAGAGAAAAATTAAATAATTTATATATATATCAGCACAACCCAAGATACAAACAATGCAGTCTTCTGACACGGGCAGTTTAGTTTAGTTTAATATTGATGTTACTCAGGTACCGATAAAGAAACACAGACGCCAAATCATGCTTATTTAAAAATAACCCATGATTCAAGTACAGCTTTGTAATTTGGATACTTTGGTGTTGTTTAATCTTCATTTTATTCATGTACCTATAAAAATACTCACCACCACATATAAAATTGATACCATTTATTTAACAATTTAATTAGGATACTAGCTTAAAAGAATAAATGGGAGGTTATTGCATGAATATTTTCAACTGTAATACCAGTGACTTGATAAATTCAAGATGATTTGAATGTGCAACTTTCAGGGAAACTGTAGAACATATTGGGCATGAGCAGTAATTCCAGTGGGAGTCGCATACTTGTAACTCATGGGATGACCAGGCCTCTACAGTCAAATTCAATGTGATATAAATGAAGGTATAAAATTACATGTACTTAGACTGTAAGCTTTTGGGGGGCTTACAGACCAAGTTTTTGCTCTGTGTTGGTACAGCACCTAAGACAGTGGCTAATGGTAATACAAATAACAACAACTACAACAACAGGTTATTATTAGGGCTGTGTGAAGCTTCGATCCCTGATTCAATTTGGCGGAGATTCAGCCTGATTCAGTGGCTGAATCTCTGAATCCGAATCGAATCAGAGGACCCTTTAATCTCTCCCAGTTGAATCAGAACCCCCTGAATCAATTCAGAGAGATTCGGAAAGAGTCGGCAATTCGGACATAGACACAGCTTTAAATGTTTTTTCTACATACCTCTAGGTAGCAGGCAGCTCATGAATGCTGTGATGCTGGGATGTATGGCATGCCCAACAGAAGCTCAGGGGGCTCCCCAGTGCGCTGCTGC